TTCATGAAATACAATAGGTTTCGAAAACAAAAAGAAGAGATTTAAATAAAAAAAAAACTAACTGCAACACTAAACTTTTCACACTTTCACTTCAATCGATTATGATTCGGCGCGAAAGGTATTCATCACCGGGTTTGGTTTTTGGGGAGACACATTTGGGTGTCTACTATTTTAAATTATATTTTGGTTATATTTTATATATAATTAACAATTACCAATCAATAAATTATATAGTTATTGATTGATGTTCTTACGTAAATAGTAATTGTTTAGGGTAAAAATAATCCCAAAAAGTGGTCCAATCCCGTAGTGACACGTGGCCCAGTCAAAGGGCGACACGTGTCCCTATATGAAGATGACGCGTTTCAGATGCCCTAAAGAGCACCTGAAATCAGCAAGAGAAAGGGCCCTTATTACATCAGGGCCCAAATCCCGAGGAAAACCATTGAAAAAAGCCTCAAAGCGGCGCCCCATAGGACACGTGGCACTCTCTGATTGCGCAGCCAATCATGTCACGGAATTTTAGGGTACATACCCTAAAGGGGCACACAATCTCACCCTTATAAATACCCCAATCATTTATGATGGGAGGGGTGAATGCTGACATAACCTAAAAAAGAGCATTAAAGAGCTCCAACTTCTCTCTACTTTCTCTCTCTAAACTTTCCGTTTCCCGATCTCTAACTTGATCGTCGGAGGCGAATATTCCGGTAAAGGAATATTCGTTGTTTTGCAGGTGTCCGTGTCTCATTTCCTAAAGAGCGTGACCAGTATCTGAGGAGATCACAAAAATACCCGAATCATTTGGCGCCGTCTGTGGGGATACTCGTCCGTTATGGCAATAGACGATCAGACACCTAATCCCGGCCCTCGTTCAGGCGAGGACGGGCATGTAGAGGATATAATCCCTACAATCCTTATCAGCGATCCTCTAACCGCCTCATTTAAAGAGGCCGACGACCTTCCTGTTACCGCAGCCTCTCTGAAGGCCGCACTCAACAAGCTCCGGAAGGAGTTTGAGAGCAACAGAGCCTCTACCTCTAGGCAGCTGCCCAGGAAGGAGGGGGAGAGGTCTCCAAAGAAAGGTCAAAACTAAGCGACTAATGCAACAGACGCTGGGAACACCCCATTTCGTAGGCCGACTGGAAGGTCCCCAAGGGTACCGCGGACAAATTTCTCTGACTTGTTGGCGAAAACCCAGTCGGCTGGGGAGAGGAGTAGGCAGCCTCGAAGAGAAGAGCCTCAGCCATCTAGACGGTGGAAGGATGCAAGGGATTACCTTCGGCATAAGCAGCGGGAACGTGCCGCTTACTCGGACACAGCCTCAACTCTAACAATGCCGGATGATTTCTCAAATCATTCTTTCTCCCAGCATACCAACACGTCCATCTCCAGCAGAAGTCAAGCTGTCCGCACTCCAACCCCTATCCCATATCAATAACTCCAATATCAACCACCTCAGGGTTTCAATGGCTTGATGCAGCAGAGTCCCCAAGTCTTCAGACAGTATGGGCCATACGGACAGACGTACGGTCAAGCTCCCTACCCGGCTGGACCGTCCGCGCATCCACAGTCAATTGACTGGCAGATGCGCTTACTGACCCTTAGAGATAAGCCGCCTCCGTTTTCACAAGACATCTTAACATCACCTCAACCAGCAAAAGTCAAGAGCGTACTCGTGGGTGCCTATGATGGTCCGGGCAACCCCGAAGAGCATATCACTTCGTACAGGATTTTGATGTACTTGCAAAGTGTAGATGATGCTACATGGTGCAAATGCTTCCAGGCCACCTTAAAAGGAGTGACACAGGATTGGTTCAATAGCCTTCTGGGCGGGTGCATTAATTGTTTTACCACCCTCAGTTTGCTGTTTGTAGGGAATTTCTCTTACAACATTCCACCAAGAAAAACAAGTCTCAACTTGGCAACAATTGTGCAAGGAAAAAATGAAGGACTACGCTCGTACGTCCAAAGGTTTTACCAAGAAAAGGCCCAAATTCATAATATTCCGGACGAAATGGCATACTCTGAATTTCTCCGGGGATTAAGGCATAATGGTTTTAAGTTTGATTTGGTAAGGAAAAAGATTCGGTCATACGCAGGTGTTTAACGTCATACTCAGCCATCCTACGCTGAATGCAGCTAAGGCAGTCATTGTACCTCATCTAATGCTGCTAAAGTTCGAGAGGACGGACAGTAAAATTGGAACAATCCAAGGAAGTCATAAAATGGTTAAGGAATGTAATTAGTTGGCCGTTAAGCCTACCACACGCGGACCAAAATCGTCCTAGCCAAAAGAAGAAGGAACCTCACTCCCAGCATACTAGGTCGGCCACAAGCGTAAGGCGGCCAAGATAGAGCAAGCATAGCAGCTAATGGATGTCGGCCGGCCAGAAGAGTTAAGGCCCCAGCCGGTCGGCAGTCACCAAGATATAGTGCTTGACCCCGATCAGCCAGGTTAGACGGTTAGTGTAGGCACGGGTATGCTTGGGGATGAGTTAGTTCAGCTGCTGAAAGAATTCAAAGATGTATTTGCATTTGAAGTTGGTGAGATGCCAGGAATAAACCCTGACCTGGCCGTGCATAAGCTGGTCGTGAATCCATTAATAAAACCTGTCTGACAGAAGAAAAGAAATCATGGAGAGGAAAGGAATCAGGCGGTCGCGACTGAGGTGAAGAAGTTGCTGGACGCCGATTTCATTCGGCAATGTTATTACCTAGACTGGGTAGCTAATGTAGTTTTAGTGAAGAAGCCGAATGGAGCTTGGAGAATGTGTGTGGATTACACAGATCTGAACAAGGAATGCCCTAAGGATAGTTTTCCCTTGCCTAAAATCGACCTCCTGGTTGATTCAACGGCCGGGCATGCCCTAATGAGTTTCATGGACGCTTACTTAGGATTCCATCAAATTCCCCTATGGGAAGAAGATCAAGAGAAAATAGTGTTTGTAACTGAGCAGGGTTGTACTGTTACAGAGTTATGCCATTCGACCTCAAGAATGCCCGTGCCACTTTTCAATGACTTGTTAATACAGTCTTTAGAGACAAGCTCGGCCGTAATATGGAGGCGTACATCAATGACATGATTGTCAAGTCGAAAGAGTCGGCCGACCATTTGAAGGATCTGCGAGAAACTTTTATCAAACTCAGGCGGCATAAGATGATGTTAAATCCTAAGAAATGCATCTTTGGTGTTGAGTCCGGTAAATTTCTCTAATTTTTTATTGATCAACGCGGAATTGAGGCCAACCCTGAAAAAATTCAAGTCAGACATGAAGTCACCAAGGACGATCAAGGAAGTGCAAAGGTTGACCGGCTGTTTAGCAGCACTTGGTAGATTTCTGTCAAGGTCAGAAGATAAGTGTCGTTATTTATTTCAAGCTATCAAGAAGAAAGCCATGTTTGAGTGGACAGAAGAGGCCGAGGGAACGCTCGTACAGTTAAAAATCCATCTGCACACATTACCTTGGCTCGTCAGTCCACTCAAGAATGAGAAATTATTCATCTATCTCGCCATCTCTGAAAACTATCTAAATGTCGTCCTGCTTGCTGAAAGGGACGGCCACCAGATCCCAGTCTATTTTATCAGTCATGTACTTCACAACGCCGAGCTTAAGTATCCCCCTGTTGAAAAATTTGGCCTAGCATTGTATATGGCATCAAAGAAGTTGCGGCCGTACTTCTTGGCACATTCAATTGTGGTCTACACAGACCAACCTCTGAAGAAGCCATTTACAACCTTAGAGACCAGTGGCCGTATGCTTAAATGGGCCTTGGAGCTGAGAGGCTTTGACATTACGTTCGAGCCAAGAAAAGCAATCAAGAGGCAAGCCTTTGCAGACTTTTTGGTTGAGATGACTCGGCCTAATCTTCAGCCGGCCGGAGACCAGATCTGGAAAGTGTTCGTGGATGGTAGTGCGACAACTACCGGGTGTGGCGCTGGTATCATATGTTAGTCTCCTGAAGGAGATAAGTTTGAACATGTAATGAGATTTCAGTTCCAAGCGTCAAACAATGAAGCTGAGTATGAAGCCTTGTTGGCCGGCCTTAGAATGTGTAAGGCGACCGGGGCAACCAAAGTTGAAGTTTGCTCGGACTCTCTGCTAATAGTCAGCCAAGTCAATGGTGGCTTCGAAGCAAGGGAGTCGGCCATGATGAAATACATGCAGATGGTTAAGGAAGAGGCCGAGGGCCTAGAATATTTTTCTTTATGACAAGTTCCTCGTTCAGAAAATCATCAAGCAGACGCGCTCTCCAAGTTAGCTTCCTCGGCGTCATGTGACACTCCTAAATCAGTATTTTGGGAAGTAAAAGAAAGGAGGAGTATTGATGCCGAGCCTGTTCAGATTATAGATAGAAGTTCAACCTGGATGGACGGAATTATTTTCTACTTAAGGAATGAAATTCTTCCGGATGATCCTAAAGAAAGTTGGCTGATGAAGAGGAGGGCAGCCTGGTTCGAGATGAAGAATGGGGAGTTATTCAAGAAGGATTTTGTGAGGCCCTACCTTAAGTGTATCACCCCAAAGAGGGGGTATGATGTGTTGGATGACCTCCATCAGGGGCATTGTGGTTCCCATATTGGAGGACGAGCCTTGGCTGAAAAAGCCACCCATTTGGGGTATTACTGGCTGAGCCTGAAGTCGAACGCCATGAAAATGGTGAAAAAATGTGACAAGTGCCAGAAGTTTGCGACCTTAATCCATCAGCCGGCTAATAGCTTGTCAGCCATAAGTAGAGATGCTCATTTGCGAGTTTGGGCCGGACACGGGCCGGGCCAAACCCTATAATTTTGTCCAACGGGCTTAATGTGGAAGTCCAAGCCCTTTTAAACGGGCTTAATATGCTGCCCACACCCGTCTATTTACCGGGTCGGGCTTGCCCGCGGGTTAACGGGCCTAATATTAACCTTCATTATTTTTCAACTGATTGGTGGATTATTTTCTTAAAAATTTGTAACTTATGATTGTTATGGTTTAAAACCTTAACTAATAAGAGTATGAATCTTAAAATAGATAATGCATTAAGCAAAATATTAACAGGGCATGTTATAAATTTAATTTTTACAAAATAGTATATATTAATTACACAAAATTAAAACAGGCTTAATAGTCCAACTTTGCAAGCAGTAGCGTATGCCATTTGCTCATTATCCTCCAGCTTACTAGTTTAATCCAAAATCCAATGTAGACCCCTGCCCACTATCAAAACAAAAATTAAAATTAAATTAGTAGTTAGTTAGAAGATAATAAGAAATAAATAATAAGTTAAAAAAAAAAAGCATTATTAAATGTGTAAACACACTTAATTAAATAATTTTATTCAATAGTAGTTTAATCCTCGTCTTTGGATTCATAGTCATCTTCATCTTCTTCTTTTTCCCCAAGAGCTGAATTCCCATAACTAAAAAAGCTCGATGAGCCTCCTACAGTCCTACGAAGGTAAAGACAGATAATAGTTAAAGGATAAACAAATATGAAATTAACACATGTACAAAAAATGATTTTTTTTAAATAAAGTTACCTAATGTAAAGCCTTTTGCACGTAACCAATCTTCGTAACATGCAAGAACCTCAATTGTCTCTTCCCCCAAGGAAGCTCTCCATGGATTTATCAATTGTTTACTCATACTAAAAGCAGATTCAGAAGGAACAGTAGAGATAGGAATGGTTAAAATATCACGAGCCATGCATGCAAGGTTTGGATAACGAACTGAGCTCTTATTCCAATAGGCTAATACATCACATTTTTCCATGACATCAGAATTCTTCTCTTCTAAGTAGAGCTCCAGTTCACTCTTCTCACTATCTACTTTTCTCTTCTTACTTGAGAACATTTTATACTCCATCATTTCATTCATTTGATCACCAGAACAACTTACACTGTTAGAAATATTGGTTTTCCTCGAGCTTAATTGTGGCAAAAGTAGGAGAAGATGAGCCATGTGCAACTCCTTTATACTTGTCAAATAAATCAAACAATGTAATTCTAATACGTGAAACCATCTCACTAGGATATGTTCCCCATACAACTTCGCAAAGCAATATTCTACCCTCTCCAACTTAAAACGAGGATCTAAAACAGCAGCACATGAAAGAAGAATATTATATTCAGAACAATACTTATCAAACTTTACTTGCATATCCTTAGCCATGGAACACAAGTTACCCAAAGGTCCTTCTGCAACCTCAATTAATTTCTTATGTACCCTCCACACACTACCAAAAAATAGATTTGCAGTGGAATTCTTAGAAGATGAAAATGTATTAGTTACATCATAGAAAATATTCAAGAAAGCATGCAACTCAACAACTCTATCCCACTCATCCTTTGTGAGACTAAAGCTTTTCAGATCTTTATCTCAACTTACTACACGATCAATGACATCTTTAAAATATATAAACCGACCAAGCATCAAAAAAGTTGAATTCCACATTATGCAATTATCTCCACGCAATTTTTTAGTTGATTTTATGCCAAAACTTGTTTCAGCAATATTATAAAACTTGTTCTTCTTTGGGATCGAGTGTCGAAAATGCTTAACTATACTTCTGATTTTAATCACAACATCGTCTATAAGCTTTAACCCAGCTTGCACCACTAGATTAATAATATGACAAGCACAACGAAAATGAGAAAATTCTCCACCAAAAAACAAACATTTTTTTCTTTGGAGATAATTTTTAAGAGAAGAAATCATGCTATCATTATACGATGCATTGTCCACGGTAAAAGTATGTACCTTGTGATCAATTTTCCATTCACTCAAACATAATGCAATCTCATCAGCAAGAGACACTCCACCAAATGGGGGTGTTAAGGCCCCAAACTTAATTATTCTCTTCTGCAATTTCCAATTAATATCAACCCAATGAGCTGTTATGCACATAAATTCATCTTGAGTATGCTCTACGAACCTCCTCAAAATTAATACTAGGATTTTTTAATGACAAGTTGCTACTACCACCCACTGATGGAGTACCAGAAATGCAAAAATTTCTAATGTCATAATTCATTCGTTTAGGACACTTGCCTATATGTCTTGCAAGATGAGATGTGCCACTATTACTATTAGCACTCATTACAATCTTACAATAATTACAAGTAGCTTTGACACTCCCATCTTTTAAGACTTGTCTTGTCATATTTTGCCAAACAGGGAAAGTTAACTTCCTACCTTTAGAATTAACTAGAGGGCTTTGATTATTGCAAGGAAGTTCATCTTCATCATCCAACACATCTACCGGAGAATTGACACTCCCTTCCATGATTATTACACAAAACCTGTTAAATTGGGCCGACAAAAAAGAATTAAATATTACACATACAATTATACTCAATAGCACAACAATATAATTAGCACAAGAAATCAATAGGAACAAGTTGAAACTAAATTATATAGTTTTACTGAACCAAATTAACAAAGTTATATATTAATTAATTGATTACAAGACTTACAACCCCATTAAATACTAGGGGACTATTAGGAGCCATAATATGAACCTTAAAGTTGAATCGGTTGTCGAATTGGAGTAAAAACAAATAAATTCACATGTTATTATCTAATTTAGTTCACATTAGTAAAGAATAAAGTTAATAATAGAAAATTAGACAATTATTCAACCAAATTACCTAATACTAGATAATTAGAATTACCTCACTATTCACGTCGTAGATCTTGTGCTTTGAAAAATGATGCCTTTCACTATGATTAGTATGATATAAAGATTATGAACTATGAAGTAAAGAGAGATGAAAATGTAGATTGTAGATCTAGGGTTTTTTTTTTTGTTTATATTGTGGAGAGAGAGAGAGTAAATGGCATTCAAAGAGACAAAGACTCTTCTAGATAAGTACTTGTACAATTGTGTCGACTGTATTTTTTTTTTTTTGTAAAAAAAAAAACAACACTGATTTAATTTGCTAACGGGCCGGCCCGAAATTTAAATACCATTGTTCATGCCCGGCCATTTTTACAAACGGGTCGGGCCTGGCCCGTCCATTAATTTATTGATTTTTTAAAAAGGTGTCCAGGCCCGAATTTTAACGGGTCGGACAGGTTGGGCCGCCTATCGGGTTGGACTGCCCATGAACAACTCTAGCCATAAGCAGTCCCCTCCCCTTTGCAAAATGGGGTATGGACATTCTAGGGCCGTATACTCCAGCGTCCAGCTAAAGACGTTATGTGCTAGTGGCCGTGGATTATTTCACCAAATGGGTCAAAGCCGAGGTCGTCCGGACGGATGTGTCAGCCTTCATATGGAAGAGTATAATTACTCGTTACGGAGTACCTCAGTCAATGGTGTTCGACAATGGACCTCAGTTTGAAACGCGCCAGCTCAAGGAATGGTTAGGAGACCAAGGCATAACTCATTGCTTTGCTTCAGTCAGCCGACCCCAAACTAGCGGCCAAGTTGAGGCCTACAACAAGTTGATGAGTTGGTTAATGTATTATGGTCCATACGGACAACAGCAAAAAGCTCCACGGGAGAGACTCCATTCTTTTTGGTCTACAGCGCTGAGGCTGTTCTCCCAATTGAGATGTATGAGCCTACTCTTAGAGTGATGCTATATGATGAAGCAGCCAATTGGGAGGCTATGAAGACCGCCCTGGACTTTCTTCTTGAGGCCAAGGGCAATGCGACGCTTAGACATGAAATTTATCATTTAAAGATGACAAGGGCATATAATCGGCGAGTGTCTAAGCGTCCGCTAAAGATAGGGGATCTTGAGCTCAGAAAAATGGAAGCTCTTGGCCGAGCCAATGAGGATGGCAAATTGACCCCAAACTGGGAAGGGCCGTACCGAATCAGGGAAGAAGTTAAAGATGGCATGTACCGTCTTGAAGCCATAGATGGCCGCCATATTCCACAAACGTGGAACACTGACAATCTGAAAAAATATTATGTTTAAGTCTTTTCTTAGTACTAAGCCAAAAAGTTGTATATACAACTAGGTCTATTGACCGAGCAATGTAATTAGAGCCGTACGGCCACAGCAATGTAATTTTGACAAATGAATGAAAAGTCAAACATTGTTATAATATTTTTCTATTCTACTTATGCTTATTTGCACTTTCATGGTCTAAATTGAAACGTCGCGTGAAACCTGCAACTAGGTTGTGATTAGGGGATTTTTCTCCCACCAATCGAAATGCGCCACGTGGACCAATCAGGTCCTGCCAAGTGTCCCCCAGTTGGAACTGTCAGGGCTTTCCACGTGGCACGCGCTTATTCGTCCACCTTGGACCTATTATGTCATGACATGTGGCATACTCCATGCCTAATGGAGAAACCGGCCACCCAGGCCCAACTTCCGAGGGAAGCCCAATCAGCCCTAGGTTAACCTAAACCTAGGATGGGCACGTTTCCCAAGGTTATAAATACCTCCCTTAATCCTCATTAAGGGGGAACATAACGAAAAAACACATTAATTACACACAGTAATAACCGGCTGATCTCGCTAACAAAGCAGATTACCTACATTAAACACTCTCACCTAGAGAGACCCAACCACTTTAATTTCCGCATTAATTACTCCTTAATCAAGTACTAACTTGACCGTTGGAGGCGGAGCTCCCAGGAGTCTCCGTTATTTTGCAGGTATAGGCGTCCGGTTCCAGTCTCGGAATTGTAACTCTCCCGCAGGACATCAGAAAACCCCGAAACATTTGGCGCCGTCTGTGGGGAGAGTACTTCTGAGATGGCATCCAAGTCTGTACCGACTCCTAAAGAGAGGCGTCCCCTAGACGACCCTCAAGTCCAGTCGGACCATGATACCGAGAGTGAATTTGAAGTTGAAGCTCACACAGCTTCAGACGGGACCCTAAGGGCCCGACGTACCCGTCATACCGAAAGGAGGGAACGGGAACATCTTCAAACTGGAAGTGAGCCAGCAGGCGCACCGCCTGTTCGGCAACAGCCGACTAATGGGTCTGCTCCCATCACAAGGAACGAACTCATGACCTTCATGAGGGACTTCAAGGGAGAGATTCAAGAGTTGATCAACAAGAAGCCGCCTGCTCCAGTCAAGGAGCAGTCGGCTAAGAAACCCTCCACTTCACTGAAGAGGAAGCCAGTTCAAGGGCGAGAGGCGACTCCTCATCCTAAATCTAGGAAGCGGGAGCCGCCTGCCCTTGATTTCACAAAATTCCGTGTTCCTACAGGAAATAGGAAACCCGTTCGTCATATTCAGGCGGACGGGTCGAGGAAATCATACACAGACGCTCGGCTACTGCTAGAGCAGAAGAAGAGTGACCGATTGTTAGAGTCGACCTCTACTTCAAACTTCCAAGACAGTCTGTGAAATACCTATATGAGGCATACTCAGTCGTATCATGAGAGTCAGTCAGGCGACACCTCCCGTCAGTCCGGCTTTCATAGCGACCAGGCGGTACCAAACTTACCGTTTGTACCGCAACAACAGTATTTTTTACATCCACCTCCGTTTGGTGGACATGCAGCAAAAAACGTCCAACCTATGGACTGGCAGCTACGGTTGCTTAGACTTGGTGAACAGCCGTCGGCCTTCTCCAAGGAAATTACTGAAGCCGCTCAGCCGACCAAAGTGAAAAATGTATTAGTAGGCACCTATGACGGCACTACTAACCCAGAAGACCATCTTATGGCCTTCACCAACCTGATGTACCTTCAAGGGTTGGATGATCCCACTTGGTGCAAGTGTTTCCCAGCGACTCTCAAAGGAATCGCACAACAATGGTTCGGCAACCTGTCGACTGGTTGTGTAAATAGCTTCAGGACGCTTGCTTACTTATTCACCTCCAACTTCACCATGAACATCCCTGCGAAGAAAACGACCCTTGATTTAGGAACAATTCAGCAGGGCGAGAAGGAGGGACTTCGTTCTTACATCAGGCGGTTTAACCTGATGAGAATACAGATTCAAGGGTTACCGGATGAGGTAGCCTATACTGACTTTTTCAGAGGTCTCAAAGACGGGTCTACCTTCAAATTTGATTTGGTTCGAAAGAGGGTGGCGACTCTTCAAGAGGCCTTGATTGAAGCAGAAGCCTATATACAAGCGACTGATCTTTGTACGGTAAAACAGTCGGACGGAAAAAGGTTCGACAAAAGAGAAGGACGACAGAAACAGTCGTCAAACAAAGATGAGAAGAGAAAAGAGGTCTGGGCGGCTGATTCCTCTAAACAGCCGGCCCAGAAAAAGAAAAAAGAATTTAAACCATACTCCCCAAAGTATGCGTTTAACAAGGATAACCAGTTTATCCTAAAAGAAATCAAGGGACGGATCTCAATTGAGAAGCCGGTCCCCATGAAGGGTTCTGCAAACAACCGGAACCAAGACAAATTCTGTGCTTATCATGATGATGTTGGTCATCACACCAATGACTGCATCAGTCTCATGCGGTATCTGGACCGCCTGGCTGAGCAAGGTGATCTTGCCACTTATGTCAAGAAATCTACGGGGAACACTTCCTCAAAAAAGCAGTCGGCCAAAAAGAATCAACAGGCCGACAGCTCTGATACAAATGATGCAGTCGTCTACACCATTGCAGGCAGCTTCTCAGGAGGCGGCCCCACTATTAGGGGCAACAAAGACAATATCAGGCAGTTAGATGTTAATTCCGTTCACCAAGAACGGCCGTCCAAATATTCATTTCCTGAGATTGTCATCACTGAAGAAGATCTAGGAGGGGTAAGAGGGCCGCATGACGACCCTATCGTTATTGAATGTAAAGTGGCCAACCAGAGAGTTGGCCGAATCCTCATAGATACCGGAAGCTCCTCAGATCTCATCAGTAGCAAATGTCTGTCAAAACTAAAATATCAGACTGATTGCATACATCCGGCCTCCCACCCTTTAGTAGGGTTTGGAGGAGGAGTCGTCCACCCACTGGGACGAGTGGATTTACCCATCCGCCTGGGTGAAAAAGGGGAAGGACGACACATGGTAGTCCGGTTCCTGGTAGTGGAAGAACTCTCGGCCTACAACATGATTCTGGGTCGACCAACCCTGAATAATTCCAAGGCTGTTATAATCCCATCTCTTATGTTGCTCAAGTTTGAGAGGGATAATGGAACAGTCGGCTCCCTAAGGGGAGATCAGAGGATGGCCCGAGAGTGCTATCTCTCGGATATCAAGCCCACTGTTATGGCCACTGGGTCATGCGGTGAAAAAACAGACCTTGACAATGTCAAGGACAGTGCCCCTGTTCAAGAAGCAGGCGGCAAGAAGAGAAAGGCATCCCAAGCAGGGGCCGCAAGAAAAGAAAGAAAATAGCAATCAGTGGCAGAGGAGCGGTCGGATGAGTTCCGCCCTCAGCCGGCTGGTGAGCATGCGGACCTGATCTTAGACGACTCACGTCCTGATCGAACAGTCAAAGTTCAGAAGTTAACAGGTTGTCTGGCGGCCTTGGGAAGATTTCTAAGCCGATCAGGCGACAAATGCCTATACTTTTTCCAGGCAATTAAGAAAAAGGCAAGGTTTGAATGGGGGCCGGATGCTGAGGCCGCCTTCCAGAAATTGAAAGTTCACTTGCATTCCTTGCCGAGGCTGGTCAGCCCTTTGCTCAAAGAAGTACTCTACATGTACCTGGCCGTCTCTGATCATGCGTTAAGCGCTGTTCTCCTTGCTGAAAGAGACGGTTGTCAGCTCCCGGTCTACTTTGTCAGTCACGTACTGAAAAATGCCGAGTTGAGGTATCCCCTAGTGGAGAAATTTGGTCTTGCACTCTTCATGGCTGTTAAAAAATTGAAGCCCTACTTTTTGGCACATGCAGTCGTCGTGTATACAGACCAACCTATCAAGCGGCCCCTTACCATCATGGAGTCGTCAGGCCGAATGATCAAATGGGCCATAGAAATACAGAGCCTCGAAGTTACTTTCGAGCCTAGAAAAGCAGTGAAGGGGCAAGCCTTTGCTGACTTTATTGTAGAGATGACTCGTCCTCCTGACTCTCAAGTTCCAGACCAAGTATGGAAGGTATATGTGGACGGAAGCTCTACTTCAAATGGTTGTGGAGCAGGCGTCATATGTCAGTCGCCAGAGGGCGACAGGTACG